AACTATAGGAATCCCTATAGGCCGAACACTGTGTTCTGCCACCTTAACTACATGAATCTGGAATACCGAGCACTTGTATACTCAAATGTGTCTATTAAATCGCTTAGTTTTAGAAAAATATAGCTGTGTAATAATGAGTATTTGAGAGTTGACTTTAGATGAAAGTTCTGTATTGATTCATAACATCTTAGCTAAACACTGTTCTCTTCTTGCCTGGACGTTACCCATGTTTTGTGGTGTAATTTTTATGTCTTAAAAGTGGTGATGTGAATATAAGCATATTGCTTGAGTGCATCACCACCGTGTATTGTATTGTTTGCACGTTGAAATAGAAAAAATGTGTCTATTTAGAATAACTCTTTATAAATGTAAGTGGGGTCGTTTGGCGTAGCGGCAGCGTTCTCGACTCGGAACCAGAGGCCCCGGGTTCGAGTCCTGACATGCCACCGATCTTGTGCCCTTGGGAAAGGCACTTAACACGACTTTCCTCACTTCGCTCAGGTGTAAATGAGTATTGTACTGCCCCTGTGTTGGTGGCGGCATTAATATAAGTTGAAAAAACTTGAGTGTGTCGTCACCACGTCTTGTGATTATATGTTTCGGAATAAAAAAAAATTTAAAAAAAATGTAAGTTTAACCTCTTCCCTTACGACTTTGTTATGTCTTGTGCTTTGCAGGTCCAGGAGAGGAATGTACGAAAGGTAATGCAAAATCATTACTTTTATAACCTGTGTCGGAGAGAATGTGTAAATTGCTCCTCAAATGCAGTGGAAGACGAAACTCATTTCATCTCTAACTATCCATTTTATGACGACATCAGAAAACAATTATTTAGCACCGTGTCCAAAATGCTCCCTTACTTCCCCAGCATTCCCTACCACAAAAAAAAAACAATTTTACTACTAAAATCAAAGAACCCACATATTATAGAAGAAGTGGGTAAATTCGTCTTCCATTGCCTAAAAAGAAGAAGGCAAACCCAGTAAAACTAGTACAATGTAACGTTATGTTGTTGAATATAGTATAATGCTAGAAGTAGATGTATTTTCTTTCTTATGTTCTTTGTAACTGCAATTAGCCCTCGGGCAAGTATTTGCAAGAAACTTTCTTTCTTTCTATAAAAGCATGAAAATAGCCTTTTCTGGGATATTAAAAAAATACATGTCTTTACGTTTAAATTTTCTTTACCAGCCCCAGCATTAACTTTATCATGCATGCAAATTCAAAGATTTCATTGTAAAATAAATAGTAACAGATCATCTCCGACAACAGCAGATACAGTTCATTGTGGTAAATAACTTCTAGGTACAGTAATACAAGTCTAGTATAGTACTACATATACAGGACCTGGGGCTAATGAAAGTATACTGATGAGTAGAAATAAGTTTCAAACTTTGTGTTCAGAAAAGGCAACCTAATAATGATTCTCTTGCAATTACACGTAAAAGTAATAGTAATAAATTCTAAAACATGTCTGTTCTTATCTTTTTATCATCACAGAGAAGCGAGGAGAAGTCTGATTTACTTAGCAGACAGTAGTACTAGTGCTAGCTTGATCATGGATACATGTATGTACAAACTATTCATTTGTTGTGACCTGTACCTAACCCAATGGGTGTGTGTGTTGGGGGGGGGGTGGTATGTGTGTGTGTGCGTGCGCGCGCGCGCGTGTGTGTGTGTGTGTGTGTGTGTGTGTGTGTGTGTGTGTGTGTGTGTGTGTGTGTGTGTGTGTGTGTGTGTGTGTGTGCGTGAGTGCGTGCGCGTGCGTGCGTGCGCGTGTGTGTGTTTGGAGAGTCATTAAGTTTCTTGTTAGCGTCACAACACGTATACAATCTTATTGTTCAGAATAGAAGGGAGCAAAATGACTAAGGACGTGAGTTTGTAAATGCAGGCTGTTATATTATAATTGTATCTGAAAGATTTTATAGCATTCTGTTTGTAGCCATTTTACTGTCTGCTTGGAAGTACTCGTAAAGCATGGTCAATTAGCAACCAACCAATCAATCAATCAACCAATCAATCAATCAATCAATCAATCAACCAATCAATCAATCAATCAATCAATCAATCAATCAATCAATCAATCAATCAATCAATCAATCAATCAATCAATCAATCAATCAATCAATCAATCAATCGATCAATCAATCTTTATTCAAACAACTAGCAGACGACAGTCTGAATTGAGTTGTTTTTACAGTTCATAAAATTGACGTTAAACAATACCAAATTGCATAATTTACAAGATAATCACACAAATTCGCTAGAGAACTATAATAATGCCTATTTACACAAGTAGAGGTAAAGGTCCATGCTAGCCGAACTCAGTCACTCTATGCCCTAAAAGCAGGGAAGATACTGCATTTAACTAGCGTTTAACAGCTCAACAATGTAAGGAATGGGCGATTTTTTGTACCGTCAATCATGGCAATATGGTATGTTTATTACGTAGACACTGGAAGTATAATATGTGATTTTATCGTACTACATATGAAACATACAACTTCTGATTATATGTTTTTGATGATGAGAAGTAATTACAATCAATCAATCAATCAATCAAATGGTTTATTCTCAACCGACTTCGCAGCACCAGGCTGAATATCGCCAATTGTAACATTCACTTAAAAACATTATACATTATGAAATACATTATATACATTATAAAATCGTTAATGGTACATTAAAAGGAGCGTCTTACTTTAAAAAAACATGTGGTGTACGAGTACAATGATGAAGCTCTGACGTGACATAATTATTATAAATAACAAATTACTGTATACTAACAAAAAGTAACCACACGCACATCATTGGTGTGTATAAGAATGACGTTTAGAGAGGAATCTTAAGTCTTTATATACATATACAAATTCAAAAGTATGGTTCTGAGTATCATAAAGAAAGTCATCATCACATTGTGAAAATTAAACTTAAAGGAATTAAACTTACTGGAATTAATTTACCAACTCAAAATATATGATATTTTATAGCAGTGTATTGTATTGCATTTTTATGACTATTGTATGTTATTGTAGGAATTTGTATTTCATGTCAACAATTGTTCGACTTTGTAATTTGTATTGCATTGTATTTATATTGTTGTGTTTGGGAGGACAACTTGTAAAGGTGTCAATACACCTGTTTTGTCCTCCCTTCCACTTGTATGTTTGTACTTGTGGTGAATTCTAGTAAACAAATAAACAAACTCAGATGAACTTTCATGCTGACGTCATGATAACGTTCATGAAGGCTAGACATCCGGGTTATAACTAAAGATTCACAAGAAATAAAGTTCTCTTTATCATGATATGTAAGTAGTCAGCATGGTATACAAAACAATAAATTCTTACATGCAATACAGCTTCTGACTGTCTAAAGCTCCTTTCACTCAGATTGTATTTATGGGTTCACCACACCACGAAGTGGTGGTGAACCCATATTGCTTTTTCTGATGTTTCTTCTTTATGGGTTCACCACACCACGAAGTGGTGGTGAACCCATATTGCTTTTTCTGATGTTTCTTCTCCTCCTCCTTCTCCCCCTCCTTCTCCTCCTCCTGCCATATCTTTAAATGGATTCAGCTTCTTCATTTTAGGGCCTAAGGTCCTGAAATTTGGTATGGAGGTACAGTGGGCAAATACCCCTAGGCGTTTTTTAAATTTTTGTGATACAGGCTTTTAGAATGGTTTTATTTGAGTTTTTTGGCTGTGTTATAGCAAATGTATTACTGTGTTAGTGTGCCGTGTTTACCATGAGTCATCACAATGGAATGCAGGACATCAACCAATAGGCATGCAGCTTTCCTCTATACTTCTTGCTGATTGGCTGTTGGGATTTAACTTGATTAACACCCGCATAAAGCATTTCCACCTGCACAGAGCATTTCTTGCTGATTGGCTGTTGGGATTTAACTTGATTAACACCTGCACAGAGCATTTCCATACTGACAGTATGTCTTTATTCAAGTGTTTTGGTAGGTATTTCAAGCTTTTCTGCTCCAGCATTGGAATGCGGGGCATGAACGTTTTTTATTTATTTTGAAAATCAACAGTTTGCATTATGCAATTAAAAATCCTAACCAATAAAGTAGGGAATAGCTATCCAACTGTTGTTTTAGTTGTATGTTACTTCATATTATAGTTATATCAATGTAAATCATTGTTTTCCCTTGTGTTTCTCATTCTTTCCCTGCCATGTCGTAAAATGTGGTGAACCCATCGCTGTATTTGCTCCAAAGCAAATATTGGCCTTTCTAGTTTACATTTACATTAGTACAATACAACTGAATAAGAAAACATGTCTTCGAATTCTGTTACGGAATCATCATTTTATGGTGTGGAGTTGCTATACAGCGTCTACCTGTCTAAAGATCCTTTACATTAGTACAATACAATCGAATAACAAAACGTGTCTTCGAATTCCGTTACGGAATCATCTGAATTCTGTTACGGAATTTTATGGTGTGAAGTTGCTATACAATGAAGAAGCTATACACATTACCACATGTGCACAGATCGCTGATCACCACATATATGAATGTGTTTGAATAAGAATAAACAGAGCAGTAGTTTGTTAGGTTAACCTACAGTAATCCATGTGGTACTACATTATACAAATAAACATACTTGTTTTCTTTTAAAAACTTGTTTTCTTTTAAAATACTATGTAATGTAAATGTATATGTAATTGTACGTGATGTATTTTTATGTCTTACATGTATGTACCCTCTCCTGGAAGAATAGCTGCCACCCTCGGGTGGGCAGCTAAAGGAGAGCTTTTCCTCAATAAACCTCAATTACATTCCGTATCACATGTAACACATGCAAGACATTAGAAAACATGTCGGCCCTTTCAGGTTATAATCTATTGCAGTGACCGTATATTTAACGTGTTCTTCTCCGTCATAAATAGTATGTAGTAGCACATTTTCAGAAACTACAGGGGATTGCATCAGGGCCAGGCTAGCGCTATAGCCATGAGATTTCATTGTATGCCTTTAATTAAACCAAGCTGGTTGGACGAACCTGTCCCCTTTTCTGCGTGTCTCGACCCTTCTCATCCAACACTAGTGCCTCCATAGACACCATCCCCTGGTCTTCACCTGTCCCACCGCCGTCCTTCATGCCCTTTCTGTCAGTCCGATCCTTTGAGTCGATGGTTTCTATTCCCCGCTTCATGAGGTCGAACACCATGGCGAGAAACACCAGTCCACAGGCAATCCAGATGAAGACCAGGGCCTTGTAGGCTTGCCAGTACTCTCGCCCCCTCTGTTTACCTGATGATGTACAAAAATAGTTATGTTTAAAGTTAAAACTTTTGGTCCAACACAAAAAATTCTCTCACCTAGAGTCTGTGACAAGCCTCACTGGGTCAGTTTACTGAGGAAGACCAGAGTGACTGGTCGAAAGCTCTAGGTGAGAGAATTTTTTTCTGTTTGGACAAAATGTTTTAACTTTAAACATTTAACTACCAAGTGACTCAGATGAACTTTCATGATAGTAAAAAATATTTATGTTTACCTTCGAAGAACCGGTGCTGTAGCAAACACCCTGTGGTGTTGGATTACATCATGTAGCAATGCATTGGCTGCAGTGAGCACATCACTACGTATATGAATGTGTTTGAATAAGAATAAACAGAGCAGTAGTTTGTTAGGTTAGATCCAGATGACCAGATGTTTTAGTGACCAGGGCCTTGTAGGCTTGCCAGTACTCTCGCCCCATCTGTTTACCTGATGATGTACAAAAAAAAATTAACGGCTCTTGATCGCAAATGTGCAGATGTTGACAGATTGGCGCACCAAATCCGTAGGGTGTTTTTGGCACCCAGCCGAAGAGGCTCGGTGGGCGTCACTCCACCGTACAGGTGGGGAAGTCGTGTAATTAAGTGCCTTTCCCAAGGGCACAACGTCGGGCCACGGTGAGTATCGAACCCGGGACCTCTCGGTTCCGAGTCCAACGCTCTAACCGTTGCGCCACCGACGTCACGATGATGTACAAAAATATTTATGTTTACCTTCACAGAACTGGTGCTGTAGCAAACACCCTGTGGTGTTGGATTACACCATGTAGCAATGCATTGGCTGCAGTGAGCACATCACTATATATGAATGTGTTTGAATGTGTTTGAATAAGAATAAACAGAGCAGTAGTTTGTTAGGTTAGATCCAGATGACCAGATGTTTTAGTGCCAGTACTCTCGCCCCATCTGTTTACCTGATATGATGTACAAAAGGACTAATAAACATTGGATAGTACCAACTACTATAAGTAGGGTCGTGGAATCGTGTAGCGTAGCGGCAGCGTGCTCGACTCAGAACCAAGAGGTCCCGGGTCCTGACATGCCACCGATCTTGTGCCATTGGTAAAGGCACTTTACACGACTTTCCTCACTTTAACTGAAAATTAGTATTTTCCTTTCCTGTATTTGTCCTCTGCGTAGGAGACGGCATAAATGATTTGAAAAAAACTTGAGTGTGCCGTCACCATGTGTTGTGTTGAATTGTTGGAATAAAAAAAGAAAGCAACTACTAACTAGAAAGGCCAACATTTGCTTGGGAGCAAATACAGCATATTTCAGTCCATCTCCCTCCCACGCAAAAGTGGACTATTCCAAACTTACCCCAATGCAAAAGTGGCAAAGGTTCTCAAATAAATTAATTAAATAGTAGCTATGTAATTGAGAACAAAGATGCAAGAACAAGCACTGTGAATCTCGAAAGCTATACTAATCTTATTACAGGTATGCAAATACTAACAATAACGGGTATAGCACTTTTGGCCCTTTTTTTTGCTGTAAATAGCCATTAAAAGTCCCCCAAATGAGTCATTTGGAAGTGGTGTATGCCAAATATGTGACTGCTATTCTGTAGACACATGTTCAAGGTACCCTTATACCGAATTTCAGATCATTTGGTTGTAATACCAGGTCTCAGGATCCAAAAGTCCATTTTTTGTCGAAAAATGCCCCAAAAAAACTTCATAAAAATTTTTTAAAGGCATGTATCAAAAAAATGAAAAAAAAACGCCTGGGGGTATTGGCCCACTCTACCTCCATGCCAAATTTCAAGTCATTTGGCTGAATGATGGCGGAGTTGAATCCCTTTGACTGTTTGGCAAGAGAAGAAGGAGGAGGAGGAGGAGAAACATGAGAGAACACAATATATTTCATCCATACCATGGTATGGACTGAAATATAAGTACCTAATACAAACTCAGAAAAGAACAAGAAATAGTCATGCCTTCAAGTGCTAGATCTAGGATTATAATCAACGAAAGATTGAAGCGTTCAAAAACTCGATGCAGATATACAGACGATTATATGCCGAAGAGCAGTTATACCGGCTATTATATATAATAACGGTTTATTGTCTATTGTCATTTTGCACATAAAAAAGGAACAGTATAAAATGAAATTATATACAAGCAAATATATGCTGGAGAGCCCAAGAAACCTGAAGGTTTGTCTAGTGGACTCTCCCAAATCCTATTAATTTTACGATGTCTTATTTACATACATTTATTACATTTACATTTAACTTGCAATGTATTAAGGGACAAGCAAACAAATTAACTCAAAAATTAACTCACATATATACATAAAACAGATACAGATACCTGCTACGTAGTCCCCGAATCCTATCGTACTGAGAGAGATGAACATGTAGTACAGCGACTCGGGGTAGGACCAGCTCTCGGCCAGTGAGACGACAGCGGCGGGGAGGAGGTAGAAGAGACACAGGCCGACGCCGAACGTCGCTGCCCAGGCAAGCCGCTGGACCCTCCTGTGATTCGTGATTTTTTGCGATTTGTTTATTTGCGCATATACAACAAAATTCACAATCAAACTAGATAGGTAACATTTGCAAAGCAAGTGCATGATGTTTATCTTTACATGGTCCAGCTCAACAACCTACTGCTTTGTTTATTCTTCTTCTTTCACAGTCATATTCTTACATGGTGACCATGCCGTTCCTCTTGAACTCAATGCATGGCACTTACAACATGATGTAACCCAACACTAGTTCTTTATTCTTTATTCAAACAGTGGTCAACATGGTATCAGTACATAAACAAAGAAAATTATGGACTGCTGAATTGTGTCAGTGAGCTTACATGTACATGAAAATACAACGCGGGCACGAGCAGGTCAACATAGAGATTCACGACACCATGTACCAACATATACACATAAAGACTAAGTCTACATATTTGGCTGTACGTTGTAGAGTCTGATTGTGTGGTGCAGAACTCTGCAGTCTGTAGTTACCATGGTGATAGCCGTCTGGTCCTGGTCATTGACCTTAGGTGTTTGGAGAAGAGGGAACAAGGCAAAAACAAATGTTTTTCTTCGGTAAGGCCACACCGTCTTACTTTTATGGATGACATCCGCGCGCACATTGATTTTCGCCTGTTCTGAAAAGATCACGACGCGTCTACCGAGGCTCTGGCCTGGCTCTAGTCCTGGGTAGTCCATGGTAGTTAGCGGAGCCGGTGCACGTGGTAACTATGGAGGACGGCACCCAGACTACCGGAGCTCCACGCGTACGATCGACTCAAGAACTCAGTACATACGTACAGTGCCGACTCAAAAATTCCGCAAAAAGCCAGCTTGTGTCGGCCTGTAATATACGTCGCTATGTACGCAAATTCACAATACCAGCTTTGTATTCCTGTGGTACAGTAACATTTTAATTTTTGTCCGGAATTTTTTTGTCATTCGCCCGCGCGCACTAGTTTGGGGGTCGTTCAGAGGATGGCATCCATAAAATTAAGACGGCGTGGCCTAATATATAACATCTGTGTCCATAATATCACCAGGGTCCATAATATCGCCACCTTGAGAAACAGTGTGCTTTAAGATATTTTTACTGCAAGATACCCTAGGTATGTACATTTGATGTGTGAAGGAGTGCATACCAAAAGTATGTTGCAGTAAAAATATCTTTAAGCACACTGTTTCTCAAGGTGGCGATATTATGGACCCTGGTGATATTATGGACACAGATGTTAGTAATAACAAACCTGACGCTCCAGTTGCGAGAGGCGTGGGCCTTGTTGGCGACGCTCCGGACTGTTCTGCCCAGGAGCCTCCCCACGCCGTCCAGAATGACCAGGTAGAGCGGGATGCCGACCAGCGCATACACCACGCAGAAGGCTCGACCACCGTCCTAGAAATGTAATAATTAAAGGCGTGAAGTTAGAATGATTAATCTCCAAGCAGATCCCTCTCGGTGGCAAAAAGACAGTATCAAATTGGCCAGGCAGTATCCATTAGCCAGAGAAGCTCCGCGGTCACCGATGGTCGGGGTCAGGACAAAAAAAACGGTCATATATAAAAAAATGTAACGATTATTCCCCACAACCTCTGCTTGGAGAGTAAGAATGTTGGCACCTGGCTTGAGTATATACCTGGTTGTAAATTAAACAAAATGCGAACGTCCAGAATGACCAGGTAGAGCGGGATGCCGACCAGCGCGTAAACAACGCAGAAGGCTCGACCACCGTCCTGTAAACAAACAAAAAATTACGGCTCTCAGTGGCCAATATGAGATGTTGTCACATCGGCGCACCAAATCCGTAAGGTGTTTTTGGCACCCTGACAGACAGATTAGCCTAAGAGGCTGGGCGTCACTCCACCGTATAGGTGGGGAAGTCGTGTAAAGTGAGTATCGTCCTGTAAATGTAATAATTAAAGGCGTAAATTTAGAATGCTGGCAACTGGCTTGAGCATATACCTGGTTGTAAATTAAACAAAATGGTAGAATCCTTTGCGGACGTCCAGAAGGCTCGCCCACCGTCCTAGAACGAGGAAGGTGTAGATTTTAACAGTCACAGGTGGATAGAGCCAGCCTTTGCCAGGCTTCACAGGCGACCGGAAAGAGTAGAAATATATCTATGTGTGGACTGAATTAACAAACAAACAAACAAACAAACAAACAGACAGACAGGCAGACAAACAGACAGACAGACAGACCCACCGTGGAGGGAGCGATGTGCCCGTACCCTGTTGTCAGGGAGAAGCCCACGGCCGATATACATAACAAACAAACAAACAAATAAACAAACAAACAAGCAAACAAACAGACCCACCGTGGAGGGAGCGATGTGCCCGTACCCTATGGTCGTCACCACGGTCAGGGAGAAGCCCACGGCGGAAGAGAAGGACCACATGGGCGGGGAGGAGTCCTCGTAATTGCCGTCCTTGCTCATCGGGTCCAGGCCGTGCAGGCTGGCCCTGTAAGCCTCGCGGATGTGGCGCTCAAACTCCCGACGCGACATGATCAACACGGGCAGGTCGTCGTCCGGAATACAGTCCTTGTCGCCTGCCGTCAGGTTGAGTTTAGCCTCGAGTCTGTTCATGATTCTCCTAAGCATGTTCGGCAGGCTTTGGACGGAGATACACGTTACACCTTCTATCGCACAAGCGTCGTCCTGTTCTTTCTTACTGTTAGAACCACTAGACTTCCTGCTTGGCAGCGTTGGAGTTCGAGTTGGTGTTGGCCGCACTCCACAAGCGTTTTCCATGCCTTCCGTCGTGTTGCGTTTCATGTCGTCGACGTCCTTGTTCATTTTGAACACCTCCTTTCTCATCTTCTCCTCTTCCGCGTTCTCCAAGAAGTGGAACGCCACGCCTCCTACCAACACGTACACCACGAACGCGAGGACAAGGCCAAACAGCTTGAGGCTCCGCATTGTCGCTACACTGTAGTTTTCAGGGCCGGCTACACTGTAGCAACGTTTCAGGGCTGGCTACACTATAACAATTTTCAGGACTGGCTACACTGTAACAACGCTACACTGTGACGACGTTTCAGGGCTGGCTACATGTTACATACACTGCAGCAGTCTTTCAGGGCTGGCTACAATGTAGCTACACTATAACAACATTTCAGTACTACCTACACTGTGACAACCTTCCCAGCCACTTCCGCGATATGTTTCTTTGCCTCTTGGTAAAACAGTTATGGCGGAGAAGGTATGTTGTTGAAAACACAGCAGGCGAACTGCGGCATAGTCACGAATACACGTCAAGTCCAACACTGTGCAGAGTCGCCCATGAAAACAACCCAGACAATAGAGTGATATGGCTGACTAAGGCTGGCTTCCGCACAAAAAGACTTGGTTCGGGGTAAACTACAGCGTCAGATCCGCACTTCCGGTAAGGTACAGTACCATGACACGCAAACCCTGACTACATTATCCTTTTGTTTTTGTATGTGTTGTGTATCTTTCTTTGAAATAAAAATAAAAATAAAAAAGACAAAGGTAAAAAAAAAAAAGTTATGACGAAGAGGGTATGTTGTTGTTGTAAATAATACAGCAGGCGAACTGCGGCATAGTCACGAATACGCGTCAAGTCCAACAGGTGATCACACTGTGCAGAGACGACCATGAAAACAACCCAGACAATAGAGTGATATGGCTGACTTAAGGCTGGCTTCCGCACTAAAAGACTTGGTTCGCGGTAAATACAGAGTCAGATCCGCACTTCCGGTAAGATACAGTACCATGACACGCAAACCCTGACTACTGTCAAGTCCAACAGGTGATCACACTGTGCAGAGACGACCATGAAAACAACCCAGACAATAGAGTGATATGGCTGACTTAAGGCTGGCTTCCGCACTAAAAGACTTGGTTCGCGGTAAATACAGAGTCAGATCCGCACTTCCGGTAAGCGGTACTGGTATGACACGCAAACCCTGACTACAGTTCAGGCAAGGTTAACCTCTTCGGTTCAGGGAATGGCTGCAGCCTCTACCAGGCGTCGGGAGGCGGCTGAAAAGAGCAGGAATTGGGCAAATAGAGAGATAACATGCCGGGCGAGTGGGTCCGCTAGAGAGTACAATTTGCCGCACCTGAGTTATATGTCTGGTCCGACGGTATGCATTATTGTATTATTGGCTCACCTCAAATATTTCTTGCCGCTGAAAGTCGCTGTAAGTACATACTCTTGAGCTCTTAACTCCCAACTGGCGGGAATATTTAAAGTTCCGGCCCTCACGAGGAGTGTTAAGCTGGTTGGTTATCCCTCACACTTAGGCGAGTCGCTGAACGAGCTATACGATTCACGCCAACAGAGCTAACGGCCTAATAATTATTTTAGTGCTCACATAACGATAGAAGTTCGAGGTTCCGCTCTTGATATCGCTTTGAGAACAAAGCAAATGAGATAAAATAGCTTCGGTTCCTCATATTTTCCAAGTGAAACGTATGCTATACGCCCACAACAAGCTCACAGACACAGTGAGTCAGGTCCTTTTTGCTCGGATGCGTTCGTGGCATATGCAGGGGGGATGACAGTGTATACAGTGCAATTTTACGAAATACAGTGCAATTTTACGGAATACAGTGCAATCGTATCAATATACAGTGCAATTTTACGGAATACAGTGCAATTTAATAGCATACAGTGCAATTTTACAAGTAAAGTTGCACTGTATACTAGTAAAATTGCACTGTGTACTAATACGACTGCACTGTATTCCGTACAATTGCACTGTATTCCGTACAATTGCACTGTATTCCGTAAAATTGCACTGTATTCCGCAAAATTGCACTGTATACTAATACGATTGAACTGTATTCCGTAAAATTGCACTGTATACTACTAAATTTGCACTGTATTCCGTAAAATTGCACTGTATACCCTGGCACCCCTGTTTTTGCTCGGTGGCGTTCGTGACATATGGCATGGCGACTATTATAAACACAACATGAACATGTAACAGGAAGCCTGGACCGTTTCTCGTTAGGACTAGTCCATTTCACAGCTGGCTGGAGGGGGTAGGAAGTAGTCACTCAGGTTCAAGATCGATATCACCTATTCAGTTAGTTTCTCGAACGACTTTGTGCCAAGCCCTTTCGACCATTCTTTAGTACTGTGGTCTATACTACAGGTCAGTTGCCCAGACTTCCCTTTAGTAGCCTCCGTAGCGAGCTTATGGAACTGGGGATTTGGTGGTCCTCGGCTGTTTTCTGATACGGGGGTAATTTAACCAGGCCGGCTATGTTGTCAATATGCAATCAGAAAATAGCACATAAAAGCTCCCGAAGACTCCCCAAAACCCCCAGTTTTGGCATATCCCTTTAACATGTACGATGAAATAGCGAGTGAGCCCCCCCCCCCCGAAATTGAACAATGCTACCACCTGTTGATGTCTGCGTCGCTTAGGGTCAAAGATCACACGCACCTGTCATGCCAAACCCGGAGGGCTTGTTGCGGTGTGGGCGTGATGATAGCAACAATCAATAGAAAGTTTATTGCAAATACTTGCCCGAGGGCTAATTGCAGTTACAGACAACATAGAAAGAAAATACAGTGGTATGCGTAATTCCCCCTAGGCCCTAACATCCTTAGCCTCTATCAGGCTTCAGAAGCGACTGGAAAGAGTAGAACTTGTGTTCTGCAGGTCATGGGTTTAGTTCTTTTTGCCGAATGGTTAGAGCGTTGGGGTATGAACTGGCGCCAGGTTCGGCGTGGGTTCGATCCCCTGCCCGGGGCCAGGAGTGTCTTTCTGTTTCCACTCGCCTCTTGTTTCAGCTGTTGTGTGTGCGTGACTGGGTTCCTACTAAAGCAGAACAAATGATTTTTTTCTATTTACGTACATACATTTTGGTAAATCCCCTTAGACTCTAATTTCCTTTAGCCTCTACATGCAGGCTTCTGGGGAAGCTAGAAAGAGTAGAAATTGGCCCGATAGACAGATAACACATCCTTTGCTTGAAGGGAAGCATCCTGCAGTCACACTGCTAGGGGTTGTTGGTGATGGAGGCCAGGATGTCATATGCCGCGGACGGGAGTGTCTCCATCTGGTTATGGTTCATTCTAGGGATTGGGTTGGATGGCCATGCTGAAGTATCTAGATTCGATACGTCTTCAACGGGGAAAGTGCTGATGTAGTTGGTAGCCATTGAAGTTGTGTGGTGGCGTTGAAGGCTCCTGCCTCGATACTGTGGATGTTGTTGTCGTACAGATGAACGACCGCCAGGCTATCAAGTCCCGCAAACATGTGAGATCGGAGAATGGTAAACTGGTTACCGAAAAGGCCCATTTCAGTTAACCTGGATAAGTTGTAGAACGCTCCGCTGTTGATTACGGAGATCTGGTTGAAACCAAGAAATAATCTTGTCAGGGTGATGTACCTGTACTGTAGAAGTCGGACTGACTTAAGGTTGTGATGTAGTTGCTCCACAGGTCCAGCCAAGTGATGTTTGTAAGCAGGTCCTGAGGAACACTGGTGAGGCCTCTGTTGCTGCAGGAACAGACTGATGAACAGCTGCTGCTGCAGGCTGCGGCTGGCCCAGCTTCCTTCAGGAGGATCGGCAGCAGAACCAGCAACCTTTTCATCTTGTCCCGCATTTCTTCTGGGCGACAGAGATTCGTCATATCCTAAATGTAATCTTCATTTTATAACGCACATTTTGGTTTCTATATTTACTACAAAACCACCATTTGCTTACTGTGACAATGCTGATACCAAAAACTAAAATGTGAGAGCATACATTACGAAATGAGGTTTACACAGGCACGGTTCTGGATACGCGTGTACTATCTAGTACCGTGCTTGAGCATGATTCTGGATGTAATAAGCCTTTATGTATTTAAAGTCGATAAACTTGTTCGGTCAACTGACCGCTAGGATAAAGCACGGATACAAAACAAGGTCAGCTAAAAACGAAGAAAAAAATCACTCACTTAACTTCGTTTCCAATGGATCCTGTCTAGTTGTATGTCTCATGGGTTAGGGTTAGGATCAGGCACGGTTTTGGATAGTCTCCACGTATCGAGACTTACGAATGGCAGTAAATGAAATTACTTTATTACCTCCATGAAATGTGTCATGGAGGTTATATTTACCTCCATGATATGTGTCATGGAGGTTATATTTACCTCCATGAAATGTGTCATGGAGGTTACATTTTCAGTTGCGTTTATCTGTCCGTCCGTCTGTCCGTCTGTTGGTCAACAAGATAACTCAAGAACGCCTGGATGGATTGGTTTCATACTTGGTGTGTTGGTAGGGTGTGACGAAAACTGGAAATGATTAGATTTTGGTCCCCCTAGTGGCTTCCCTTGGTACTGCAGCGCAACTTCCGGTTTTGATATCTCGCGATCTGGACATGCTAGGGTCATGAAATTTGGATGATAGGTAGCTCTCGTGCTTGGGAAGAAGTCACATGAGTTTGGGCCCCCTAGCGGCTTGTTCTGGAACTGCAGGATGGTTTCTTATGTGAATGTGAATAATTTGTATAAAAATTTTGCTAATGAGCAGGATTGTAAATGTAAGCCATTTATGTGATCATCACTATGCATAAGCTTTACGAAAGCACTAAACATGTCATGGAGGAATGAGATTGTCGAACTCTAGTTGAAAATGCACCAGGGCAATGAAATGTGATCTATGATCTGCCTTCGCGAAAGTAACTTCGTATCCAATACCGGCTGTCTAGTTGTATGTCTCATGGGTTAGGGTTAGGACCAGACATTTATACAGGCATAGTTACAAACCAGTCTACTGCAGTCTACTGGGCCTGGACGTGTGATCTATAAACCAGCCAGACCTTTGGGAGGGGAGAGGAGGGGACTAATCTCCAAGCAGATCCTAGGGTGGCAAAAGACAGTATCAAATTGGCCAGTCATCCATTCGCCAAGAAAGGGTACATACGTACACCACCCAAGTATGAACCCTCTATGGCGAATGTTTCCACCAGGCTCCTTTGCAGGCTGATAAAAATTGTAGAAACGGGCGTAAAAAGGAATGAAACTGGCCAGGGGAGTTGGCCGGCCATGGAGGGTCCAGTTTTCCTGCATAAATATATGGCGGGCCAACTCTCCTGGTCAGCTACATTCTTTTTAGGCCGATTTCAACTATTTATTCAGCCAAAGGAGTCTGGTGGAGACTATCACTCAGTTTCTGCAGCTTCTTTTGTGAAACAATTAGAATAAGATTTACCACACAGTGCAAACAGTAAACGTCACAGCAATACAAAACTTTAATTCTAGTAGTTAGTAACTGAACATACAGTCACATTAGTGACACATTAGTGACATATTAGTAAAGAACCAATCCTACATGACTATACAAGTTGACAAACGTCATACTCTCACATCAAACATCAGTTATATATATGATATATATGATATATATGATATATATGATATATATATATATATATATATATATATATATATATATATATATATATATATATATATAGTACTAGTA